TTGACACAACCAGCACTGTCACTATGCTGACCCTGGAGCCAGTACTGCACGGCCTGCACACATCCTCTAAGGCTGGGGAAGGAACATCAGGTGAGTGACCTTAGTTACCTCACACAGACAGGGTAGAGGTGGTGGGCAGTGAGGGGCTGGGGTGTGCTCCTCACTTGGCCTTCTCAGCCTGGGGATCGCACTTCAGTCTGTGCACGTGGATGTATGTGCAGCACCAGTCTGGGCCACACATCCCCAGGCAGCTGCACCAGAGCACCCCTGGGCTCCTGCTCATAGGGTCTGAGGAGGCCGGCCACATGTTGCCGCCCATACTCCTGACACCAGGGTGGGACACCTTCCCATCATAAAACACCACTAGAAGGAGGCTTGGGACACACTCACTCACTTTCTCTCAGGAGTGCCCCACAGAGCACACAAACATGACTGTAAGCTCAAAGTAGCACCTGCTCCCGGGGACAGCGCTGCCAGGTGCAGGACCATCTGCCACTCACTCACCCTCTCCTCCAGCCACCAGGGACACACGTTCTCTCCACTGTCAGACCCAGTGTGTGCACGGCACCAAGGCAAGCTCAGCCAGCCCAAGGCCCTCCTCCCACCCGCAGTATCCCAGTGTGGCCAGTAGCTTCCCATGTCTGCTTCTCCCCGGGATGTAGGGGTGGTGAGGTTGCTCCCCTGGGGTTATCTGGGTCTCTGTAGGAAAGGGCCTGCTGTCCAGGCCGCAGATGGCTTTGCTCCCAGGACATCACCATCTGACCCGAGAGCTGGCAGTCTTGGCTCATAGAGGAGGGCAAAGCTTCAGGGACCATGTCTCCAGGGATGACTGACCATCTCTCCTTATTCTCCCCGGCCAGACCAGCTGCGAGAGGGGGCAGGCAACACTACCCATGGCAGCCGTCTGACACTGGGGGACCTGCAGGCACTGGAGAATGCAGGAGGAACTACTGCGGGAGAACATCTCCGTGCTCTGGGCCTTGCATGAGACACTGAACCAGAGGCTCCAGGAGGATGTGCAATTGCAGAGCGACCTGCAGGAAGTTGCTGTAGCAGGGCCGCACCATGTGCACAGTTGTCCAGTCTCTCTTCACTGGCACGGAGCCAGCTCCTGTTCCTGCTGCCACTCTTGCCCCAGCCCCACCTCCTGGTCCTGCCCCATCTCCCATGCCAGACCCTGCCCCAGCTTGCTCCCTCCCTCCCTGTTGGATCACTGAGGTCGCCGCACATGAGGCGGTGGAACCAACTGAGCCAGGCACAAATCCCACTCCCAGCCCTGAGCCTCTCTTCACTCCTCCTCCACCCTCAAAGGTTCTCATCTCTCCCCTCCCTTCCTCCCCTCACTCTCCTCTCCCAGGTTCTTTTCCCCAGTCCCCTCCCCAGTTACTTTGGCCCCAAATAAAAACCACACAGTTTGTTTAAAAAAAAAAAAAAAAAAAAGTCTGTTTGATTGTCTCTGCAGGAGAAGGTGGAGGGTGAGAAAGGAGGGGTGAGGGAGGAAAGGCAGAAAGGGGTGATGCCCATGCCCAGGGGAGTGTCACTGGGGTCCTTTGTGAGAAACTCTCCCTCAGGGCCTCATGGATGCGCACCCTCTCCTGCTGGGCCTGCTGGATGGCAGCTGTGTATGGCTGCTCGAAGACCCTGCCAACCCGGCCAGCCTCTGCCCGCTAACCTGGCAGGAATGTCTCCACCTTCTGCTCACAAATATTGTGGAGCACACAACATGCGGCCACCACCTGGCAGATGTTCGGCTCCCCAATGTCCATCTGCATGAGAAGGAATCTGAACCATGCCTTGAGATGCCTGAAGGTGCCCTCCACCACCATGTGGGCCCTGTCAAGCCTGGCATTGAAGTGTTCTATTGAGTGGTCAAGGTGGCCGCTGTAGGACTTCATGAGCCAGGGCACAAGAGGATAGACCGCATCCCCCACAGTACAGAGTGGCATGTCCACTTCCCTGGCCCTGATGGTGTGATCGGGAAAGAAAGTGCCGGCTTCCAGCTTTTGGAAGACACTAGAGATGCAGAAGACGCGGGCGTCACATGCCTTCCCCAATCGGCCAACAAAGATGTTGGTGAACTGCCTGTGGTGGTGGTCGAGGGCCTGCAGGACCATCAAGAAGTATCCCTTGTGGTTGATATAGACAGATGCCAGTGGCCAGGGGTCCGGATGGGGATGTGGGTGCCATCAGTAGCTTCTTGCAGTTGGAGAAACCCATGTCGGCAAAGCCAGCAATCATGGGGTCATGTCGCTAAGGTGGATGTCCCTGTGCAGTAGGACGTTTGTTTATGGCCTACACTGCCTTTAGAAGGAGACAAACAGAGGATCACGGGGTGCCAGAGTTCCCTGAGGCCACCCCCCCTCCCACACACACACACCCTCCAGGGAGATGGTGGGTTGCGTGTGTGTTCCATCATGTGAGGGAAGGGGCGAGCCAGGCACACAGCTCCAGGAAGGTCTCCTTCCACAGGCAGAAGTCCTGGAGCCACTGCTGGTCATCCCACCGCTCCATGATGAGCCATTCCCACCAGTCAGAACTGGTGTCCAGCTTCCTTTGTCTTGTGCTAGGACTGCCTCAGCTCCTTTATTGTAACATGGCACTGCTAAGGGTCCTTTCACCACCAGGCAGCTTGCAGTCTTGGTATAGACATTGGCATTTCTTTTGCTGTTTCAAAGCTCCAAGAGAATGGATTCCTCTCCCCATGTTTCTGTGAGGTTCAAGATCTGCACACTCCATGCTGGCTCTCCTGGGAACTGGAGCTCATGGAAGTCATTGCCGCATGTGCTGCTGAGGTATGCTGCCTGCTCTGAGGTGTGTTTGCAACGCTGGCCACCCGGAAAATGGAATTCAAACTTTCCTGGGGCTTTTCCTGTTTACCAGGAGCGCAGAAGAGGTGCGGTGGGGTGCCTGCTGGAGGCCAAGAACCTTGACTTTTGCTATGCTGAGTCTACACTACCGGGAATGTGACTGCACAAGGTCGAGTATTGCATCACTCCTCATGAAAAGCAGGAATACCAAAATCCACTTCAGCAGCCCTTAAAGTTGGCATAACGGCCGTGACAGTATAGACTCTGTTTAGAAAATCAAACTTAAGTGGCTAAACTCAACCTAAACTTCTAATGTAGACCAGGCCTTAGTTAAAAATTAATTTAAAATTCCCACTCTGCTTGAATGTCAGTCCTAAATATCTCCAGTAGATGGCCACAGGTGTCACACAAGCCATGCCACATTTCACACTGGAATAAAATGGCTTGTCCATGAATTGCTAGTGGCCTGCAGGTTGCAAGTTGCAGTGGGCTGGATGCCAGTTGACTGCCAAGTGTCTTGTGGCAGTCGTCTTAAAAGTGAAATGGTATGGAGTTAGAGCAGTAATTAGTGCTCCATAGGAGATAAGAGGGCAGTGTCTTGCATGTCATTATTTTAACAGTGTTCATTTCTGAAGTGTGAAAATTAAACTAAGACCAGTTTGAAGTGTGTTAATGTTAAGGAACTCTAAAATTGGCACAAGTGCCAGATTTGTGTGTCTGACTCCAGATCTAATTTGCTTAGCTGAATGTGTTTTTGAACTGCCAGACTTGTGATCTCAGCTGGGGATCTGAAAGTAAAACTTGCTGTTCAGGGTGAGGAGAATACACACAATATTAGAGCAGATTTTGCCCGCAAAATCAGGGGGCCATCTTTCCACTGATCAAGCCCCCGAAATGACGGCTGGTCTAATATAGATAACATGGTTGTCAACAGCCTAATAAAAAGGGCTGTTTTGTATGGCCAAATTAGGCCATAAAAGAGGCCCCTATCATGTTCCCTGTACACAGCTAAATTCCCCTGCACTATCAGCTGAAATTGCTGGAGTCATGGGACCTGTGCTGTCTAGCACATGAGGTTCCTTGCTGCATGGATCCTCTGGATGAAAAAACAAGAAAATCTCACATATCCAAACATGATTCTGCAGCCTTAGTTTAGTTGTTAAACCTGATGATGCACAAGTGTGGAAAAAATCCAGCTCCTTCTCTCATAACTTTGCTGATACTGAAGACACAAGAGGAGTCAAAACATAGTTTAGTGCTCTTTCACCAGCTGTTTCTATTTTCCTGTACTGTCTTCTGTTCATAACGTTCGTACTTAAAATCTGCTGTGGTGAATGAGTTTCCATCTTAAAAAAATTTGACACTTTTTTGTGCAAAATACTCTGTGCACATGGAAAAATCCTGAAGTGAGCAAAAGTAGCATGGCTTTGAAATGTCTCTCTTTACTGCTTGTTCTCTACACCATAGGGATGAAAACAAATGCTCCATATGCCTGTCATGAAGAAAAATATTAGGAAGAAGTTTGTCCTGTTAATATCTCAAAGTATTAAGAAACTGCACAGAAGTGTGGCTCTTTTCTGGGTTTCCTTTCTTTCAGTGTTATCGTTTGGACATTGTGGGCCAAACCTTCCTTTAATATGCATATTACAGCAGCTCTGCTACTGCTTGGAAATATTTCCAGCAGAGGCTGTGCAAGAAAATGGCATACGGCAGAGCTTGCATATGCCAGATTCAAGTAATTGATTATGTACTGTCTGTGCTGTTCAGGATAAGAGTGATAGCAGTGTTAATGTATGTATAGACAAGCACTGCAGATCTCGTACCCACCGGAAAAAAGTAATCACAAAGCATAAAACTGATGCTAACACCCAATCTGTATTTTTGTGATGACACTGAGGAGTCCTGTGGTACCTAAGAGACTAACGGATTTATTAGGCCATACGCTTTCATGGGTAAAACCCACTTCATTAGATGAATTGAAATGCATTTTTTTGGGTAGTCTTAAAATGTTTAAGGCCTCTGCACCTGGAGACCAACTTGGCTATTAGTCAGTTGCTGGCACTACATCATAGGGATGAAAACAAATGCTCCATATGCCTATATCACCTACGTGATTCATTGTTCTCGAGATGAATAGTGCATTAATCACATCATTTTGCATTGCCTCTAATTTTAATGACTTTGGTTTGAAAGGATAAGAGGGTCATCGCCTTCCAGCTGTGGTTCCAGTCCATTGAACATCACCAGCACACCTCCTCCCGACACTTCTTCTCCCGGAGGCAAAAAGGTGAGAAGAAACATTTCTAAAATGTGAATTACGTATTGCCTTTCACAAAACTGATCCTTTGGCTGCCCGAGTCTAGGGAAGTGGAACATAGCATACTTTCGAGTGTTTATACATAGTGAAATAGCCATCCCAGAACACCACTTGTTGGTCTGGGCGTTATGTGAGAGACATAAAGTTCAAACCTCTATTCCAAGTCAGGCAAACTGAGCACTTGAATCTGGACCTCCCATGTGAGTACACTAACCACAGGACTATCGAGGTTTGGGGTTGAGGGGCACAATCTCCTGTGGTTTTCAGTCTAGCCTTTCCAAATTTCCTTTTTGAAAAAACAAATAGTGGTTAACAACTAGTAGTTAAAGTGTCCCATATCAAACTGAAATGTTCTGTTTAACCCAGTCATTTCTTTTGTTTGTTTCACAAGAAAACCTAAGCATTTTAATGTAGGAGAGATCAGAAATTGAGACTATTTTCTTTGTTCAATGAACCTTGCATTGCTATGATAAGTCCTAGGACGAGCACAGAACCTTCCTCCAAAATAGGGATGTCAGTTGCAGCTAACACATGCAGTGAACTTAAAAATGAATTTATTTTTTAATGCGAGTTAATCGCACACCTCTTGGGACAGGCCTTGGCAGCAGCTGAGCGGGAGGCACAGGCTGAGACACCAAGCAGGAGGTGGTCAGAGACAAGAGACTCTGGGTGATTTGAAAGCCAGTTGAACACCTATCCCTGCCCACACCACCTGCCCTATCCTTCCCCCTTAGACATGGCCAATCCTAGAGGTGGATGAGGGAGGGTGCTGTGCTGGGATGGGGGTGGGGGGGGGGG